ACCTGGACAGGAAGTAAGGGCAACCCTCCACAATAGGGGTATAAACGGTAATAGAAATCTGACTGAGGGACTGACGGAACTTTCCCCACTCTAGAAATCTGCAATGGTTTTAAGTAGACCTGTAGTATGGAGACCATTGCTGACCTTCTGAAAATGCCAGATTCTTGGCTGTCCCCAAATTCCTGTCACTGACCTCAACGAGCATGCGATACAGGAAAGCTAGTGTGAAGTGTGTGAAGTCGGGACGCTCCCTCTAAGAGAGGGAGCGGGCTCTGCTGCGTGGAAAAGTACAGGAATGTGCCAAAAGTGCTGGATTATCCTGGGAATGAGTGTCTGATCGATCGTTTGTAAAAGTGCCGTTAGCCTGTGAACAAGCGCCACCCAGTGATCACTCCCAGTACTGCAATGTGTTGCTAATGGTTTAGAGCAGTGGGTCTCAACATGTGTAACCTCAGGACCCACATTTGTCCTTGGTCATTAAGTTGCGACCCAATTCGCACTGCAATGGAATGCACGGATATAGGGTAGCGCATGTTCCAGTGCGGGCATACAAGCTGTGTGTGTTTGGGGTACCGTTCAAATGAATGGCAACCCAACCCACCTCCCACACCAGAACGTACGGTAGGTGCAATTGCATTGTACAGTGCGTTAACTGTATGGGACTGTGCCATTAACGCAGTGTACTAGTGTGAATGGGCCCTCAAAAACACTGACCTACAAAGGCAACCAGAGACACATTCACACTCCCAAAAATATTTAATTTAAAAACAAAATGTTTAAGGTCCACCCAGTCTCCCCACCTTACGAGAAGTGGAGTGGATCCTCAGCCTGCGGGTCCAGTGTGGGCTACTGTGCTGTGAGGGAGCTCCATCCATATGTGCATTGCATGTACAGCTCCCTTGCACGCCCTGTAGAGGTGCTGGGAGCCATAATGTGATGGTCCTCCGGTCCCAGCTCCTCTATAGGGCACGGTCCTCCGGTCCCAGCTCCTCTATAGGGCACGGTCCTCCGGTCCCAGCTCCTCTATAGGGCACGGTCCTCCGGTCCCAGCTCATCTATAGGGCACGGTCCTCCGGTCTAGGCCCCTCCTATAGGGCACGGTCCTCTGGTCTAGGCACCTCCTATAGGGCACGGTCCTCTGGTCTAGGCACCTCCCTATAGGGCACGGTCCTCCGGTCTAGGCACCTCCCATAGGGCACGGTCCTCTGGCCTAGGCACCTCCTATAGGGCACGGTCCTCTGGCCTAGGCACCTCCTATAGGGCACGGTCCTCTGGTCTAGGCACCTCCTATAGGGCACGGTCCTCTGGTCTAGGCACCTCTATAGGGCACGGTCCTCTGGTCTAGGCACCTCCTATAGGGCACGGTCCTCCGGTTCAGGCACCTCCTATAGGGCACGTGAGAGAGTAGTATGTAATGCATGTATGGATGGAGCGCCCTCACGGCTATAGCCCCAACCCACCTCAAGCTGACACTATGCACCAAGCAACATATTTTGAATGGCTGCTCAGCGTGAGAACTGACAGTGCTACGCTAAGGGGAGGCAGAGGAGCCTCTCGCCTAGAAAACTGGAAGGCATGTGGGGACCCACTGAACACAGGGCAGCAACCCCATTTTGGGTCACGACCCACCAGTTGAGAACCAAGGGTTTAGAGTACAATATACTGTTATGCTGTGGTATAGTACGGGGTGTAGTATGGGGGTATGGCATTAGTTAAACCCATTTTTAAATAGTAACTCAAGCAACCAGAAACTACATTTATCCGGAATCTACCAATCCGCGTGGGTGCCCAATAACGGGGAGTTTACGGTACTAGGTGACTGAATAGTATTTAGGACACGTCTGTCAGAAGCAGATTGTGAATCATGTCGGTATTCCTCATCTCTAGTCTTACCCGGGTCGGCGACTTAGAAAGCGTGACCGACCGGAAGAGATGGTCGGCAATGACCTTCATAATGGGTCTTATGGTAGGTGGACTTGAAGGTAATGTGGACGGTCACATTTTGACATGCTGGCCATCTGACATATTTGATAGTCGTTGAGCTTCCACTAGAGGGCACTCTCATTGGCTCGGTACAATTACGCAACCGTTGCTGAGAGAAGCTTTCAGCAACATAGGCAATTCAACTCTGGAGACTGATATTGGGAGAGGGGGCAGTAAAGCACAACGGCCGTGCAGCACTGAAAAGCAGGTGGCTTGGTCTAAGCATGTAATGTGCCAATGTGGTACCGTGTACATATAATTATCCCATTTTTTTTTTTTAATAACATATATAGGAATATTTACACTAACCTGATCTCTTTACAGGTTTATCATACAAACTTATACTATACATTTCCCTTAGTTTTATTTTTTAAAATTAGTGGCTTTGGCTTTAGCTGGCCTTGTGCACCGGCCAACCTTCAATGAACTCCCAACCTCCATAATGGGGCCACAAGGCGCCATTAGGTCTGGAGTCTCTCCATCTACTTTTTATAAAGCCAATCATCTCTTACAGTCTTCACTATGGGGAGTACCAGAGACCTGAATACATTGTGCAAATATTAATACATTGTCCAAAAAATATTGCCCAACTGTGTTTATATACCATATTTATCCTTCCTCTATACTATACAAAAATACTACTTTGTTATAAATAAAATCACTTAAAAACATCAAACTGCCCTGCCAGGCTGGACTAATGTGGCACCTGAACCATCCCTATGCCTCAGGGAGCGTCTCATGGGTAGCAGCTGGGTGGTGGGGGCGGCCACGGAGTCCCAGGGTAACCCGTTGCCAGGAGCTGACCGGGATACTCTGGCTTGAGTCCTGCCTAGAGCCTGGCACCCAGGACGTTGGTGAGCTGTGCAGGATGCCCCCGCCCTCCTAAAAAATAATCAGTTGCATGCACCTCCTTGGCCCAGCACCCGTGCCTATTCCCTGACAGCAACCCAGCCGCCTCCCCCACCCCCCCCAAAACATCACCTCAGGCAGCGATTTACCTACGGGCACCCCAATTATCAATCTACCTTTTATATCAACAGTTGCAGTTCATATTAGTGGAATGTTTTTCGATATTGTATATCGGGGCGCCCCATTGGTTTGGATGGTTTTTGATGTTTTTAAGTTATTTTATAATAAAGGTGTTTTGTACAAGTGGATACAATTTCACAACTGTTCATTTTTGTTTTGTTTTTTCTTTGTACAAAGATCTCTTCTCGGTTTCATAATAAGTCTATGGTAGTCCCCATAATGGGAACAGTGTAGGAGACGACTATGTGGACTATCAAGCCATCACTTGGGGTCTATTTGATAAAACAAAATGCACATAGCTATTCGTTCAGTGAAAACTCTACATTCATTCTGAGTGGGTTAGTGATATTCAAGTGAAAATGTTTTAAAAAATGCTATTGGCTATTATAAATTGCAGTAGCCAATAGCATGCTGGATATTGCACGCGTCCACTGCCTGCTGTCGATCAGCAGAGGAGGACCTGAAGGAAAACTTTCTCTTTCAGTTCCTTCCTCCTGCTGATTGGCAGCAGGCAGTGGACGTGTGCAATAGCCAGCATGCTATTGGCTACTGCAATTTATAATAGCCAATAGCAGGCTGGCTATTGCTCATGGATGCAGGATGGGATCATTGTCGCCAGCTTTCTACCGCCGGTGTTCTGTCGAAAGCTCCAACTCCTCGGGATCTCCAACTGCCGGACTTCCGGTTTAGAGGTTTGGGCGAGAAGGCTGTACTGCACGTGCGCCACCCGCGGCATTTCCCTATACACATACTACACAGCAATAAAGTAATACCTTGAACTAGGGTCAGACTAATCCAGCACTTTATTCATCTGAGTTGCCTCATTCAAGCGGCGGCCATATTGAGTGGGGCAACTCAGATTAACAACGTGCTGGATTAGTGTGATCCTAGTTCATTTTAATACTTTATTGCTGTGTAGTATGTGTATAGGGAAATGCCGCGGGTGGCGCACGTGCAGTACAGGCTTCTCGGCCAAACCTTTTACTTCTAACTAAACCGGAATTTAGGCAGTTGGAGATCTCGACAAGTTGGAGCTTTCGATAGAACACCAGCATTTGATCCAAAGCGGGAGCGCATTGGGGGCAGGGGGGGGGGATGTAGAGGCACAGCGGCTGAGAGTGGTCTCTACTCCCCGCTGCAGAGGTCTGTGTCCCCCTCCGATCCCTGCTGCCTCTGCTGATACAGGCAGGGAGAGTAGTAGGGATTGAAGGGGACACAGAGCACATCATGCAGCAGGCTCCCGGGGGGCAGCGGAGCTGGAATTGCATGTTGGGGGCGTCGCGCAATCGGAATTGCTCACCCTTGGTGCAA